CAAACTCATATCATTAAACAACACATTGTCAATGTAGGCACAACCACAAAGAGAAGTATTACAATTAGAAATCACACAAGGACAAAGGCAAATAATAATGGCCAAAATGAACATATGACATGCAAATGTCAAAATAATGATACACAGTCTCGGGGAAAATGTATATTATTCACTATATTAGTTGAAATGTCTAAATAAATATGTATATTATAAACAGATCGTCCAGGAGGGATTTTTCCAACAAACTGTCCATTACAATATACTTCAGAGAATTATTTTACATGTGAACCCAGTATGAAGATGAAATATTTTGGAACTAAATACGCTGAAATTTCTGTACTTCGTGTTCACATTGTTTGAAATTATATTATTGTTCCTTTGGGTTCCTAGTAGAACATAGGGCTTCAACTGCACGGCTCTACTCGCCACTTCTGTCTTCTGCTGTACTTTTCACCTCCATCCATGTTAGTCCATACTGTTTCAACCCCTCTTCACACGATCTCATCCATGTCACCTTTGCACTGACGTCCCACTCGCCACTTCCCTTTCAATCTGGTTCCACTCGAGCAATGGCCTGACGCGCGCGCGATGTCACCCAGCGGCCTCCTCAGCGAGCGAGTGTCCAATCCATCTCCACTTTCTCCTGCATATTTCTTGGGCGATTGGTTCTTGTTTTGTTTGTTCTCATAGTTTCTTGTTGGCGATTCTTTCCTACCATCTGATAATCAGTATAGAGCGAAGACAGTTAGTTGTTGATGAAGGTCTGCAACAGGCTGTTGGAAATATTCTTTGTGACCCGCCCACCAATTTTCTGATCCGTATAGGAGAACTTACTAGCTTGATGTTTGTATTGAAAATCCGACCGAATTTTGTTGTTGATGCTGGTTGGGTGACGAATATTTCCAGATTGGTGTCAGGTTGATGAATGTGTTTTTCGCCTTCCCGATTCTCAATTTGACATTCTCGTCCGTTTCTCCTGTAGTTTAGACAAATAGCTGTTTGGGATAAAGACTTATGATTGTTATTAAAATTGATTTTCTTCAAGGCAGAGCTTTAAACGACGTACCGGTTAAAATCATTAGCAGTGTCTAGGGCAGAGAATTAAAATACCGTGGTAAACCAGAATGCAAATCACAATGACCTAATTTTATGAAGGCAGGGAAAATGGATGTTGGTAGTTACGTCTTAATTATGAAAAATAATACTAAAATGGCAGAATTAAGGTGTTTGAAAGTATTTGATAGACTAGTGAAAACAGGCTTTTTTAAATAAAGTTTTTTTAATTTAACCACCACGTTCTTTAGTCGAATAAAACAAATATGTCGATGTTTGTCGTTTAGAACACAAATGTCGCTCAATTAGGCAGGCAGATCATTTAGAGGAAAAAACAGGTTGCTGCCTCATTTAGAAAAACTTTACCTTGCAGCTATGAAAATCCCTTCATCATCAACTTTCACCCTAGTTTACACGTTAAATTAAATATTTCAACTTTTCTGGGCGGAATCTTCATCACAGTAATAAGTAATCTGATGAAAAACCCGTTGAATTTTAGATTTCCTCTCTACGCTTTTAGTAAAATGTTCAAATTGTTTAAATTCAATTAGCTCCGAGGTAAATTATTTTTAAAAATGACATTTCCCACAACTCTGATGTGAATAACTTTATATAAACTTAAAATATGTAGTAAAAGAAAGAGTTTCTCTGTGTTGATACCATTAAAGGGTTTAAAATGGCAGTCAGTATTTTGCGAAGATCTACTAACTGACACCGGAATAATACCAAATTAGCTATGCGTGCTGAGATTGTTACACAAATTTGATTTTTATTTACTTATCTTGAGCTTTTTAGGTATAAGAAAACAGCAATAGTCATCAGCGTTAATGTTCGCCTTAAATTCATAATGGATTTATCTATTATGTGATTGAAACAACCGTATTTAAAAGAAACTTTAAAATTAATTTTAGTTCGCCGGTGGCACAGTGGTAGAATGCTCGCTAACCACGCAGGTGGTTTGAGGTTCGACCCCGGGCAGAGGCACTCTTTTATCTCACTAAGCCAGTAATAAGACTGGTAAAGAGGGAAGGTTGGGCGTGAGGCTAGCAACCTCATCCCGCAAAAATAAATATCTTTGCTACCGAAACTGCAAGTCTCTGGGATGAAGCCCTATGTACCACCGGGAACGTAACAGAATAAAATAAAATAAGAAATAAAATTAAAATAAATTGTAGAGAAAAACAAGTCTGGTGATTCTTTTCCATAGAGCTAGGTGGACTGACTACTGTTTCTGAAAAGATAATGAGCAACCTATTTTAAACCTGAATAGCCGACAAGAGTGTCAACTTTTAATCTAAAGACGTAGACTCATATGTTTTGGTGTTTTTTTTGTTTTCTTTCGTGTTCCGAGTAGAATGTAGGGCTTCAGGCTTGATGTTTTGGTAGCAGTGATGTGTTTGCAGTGTAAGACTACCTACCCCACACCCAACCTCATTCTTTTTCCAGGCTCACTGATGACTGGTAAACTAGTTGAGGTTTAAGACTGCCCTATTCAGGAATGGGACCAGAGAAATACACAGATCACTGGGACTTAGTTTTGTCTAATTCTATTTTTTTTTATTTAAATAGATCATTAGAGAGAAGGAGATTTTGAGAGCCCTTCAGATAATGCAACCACTCATAATCTTCGTGGTCGAACTTATCTGTTGAAAAAAATTCTGACACTCTGCGAGTGGGAGAAAAAAAACGTAGTAGTAGGTACAATCAATTTACTGCTTCAATGAAAATTATTCATAAATACTTCATTTAGACCACAAGATTGAGAGATACTTTCCCGATTTTAATGGCTTGTCATTGTAACTACTTAGGCAGTTTATAATAAATCCTGGTACGCCTTTGATATTCAAAACACCAATTAGTTGAAGAAGAAAATGAGAACAAATGAAGGAACGTGCTGAATTGAAGAACCAGCTACATGTTTTAAGGCGAAAAAAATGGACGAAACAGCTGAAAAACCTAATGTGGTTATAGAATAATTATTTATCGCGGACATCCCCTTATTCTATGAGTGAATAGATTTGGCAAATTTGAACCAGTCATCTCTTACCAAGTAATATCAATCTTAAGCATTACTCATACGTAGCTTTTTCCAATTTTATTATTTAAATATTTGAGCGGGTAATGTTCAACAGTTTTAAAGTAACTTTAAGAGTTTCATAAATGAATAAATGATAGAGTATTCAACTAGTGGATAATACCTAAGTATAAAAAACACATAAGTGTGTCAAAAACGTGCATCCGTCTCAACCGTTGAAGATGATGACAATGTATTTATTTCTACAGTTATTCTACAACAGGCTTCATTTTACACTGTGATATGAAAGTCATATCAACTTTAGGAGAAAACAAACAGAGGCGTTGACTTCTTCCCAATTACAAATAAGCGAATTGTTTATCACATCACATATTTTTAACCTTATTGTTTGGCCATCTACAGAACGTTTTATGTAATTCATGTATGTATATATAATCATTTTTATTATTATCTCGTTTAGCTCCTAGAGGAGCTTAGGACTTCAGTCGCAGGTCTCCATTACACTCGGTTCTCCACCAACGTTTTCACCTGTATTCACGTCTGCTCACATGCTTTCATTTTCTTTTCACATCCCCTACTCCATATCATCCTCGCACTGACGACCAACTCGCTACTTCCCATTCGGGTTCCACTCGAGCAATGGCTCGGCGTGTGATGTCATTTGATGGTTTGTTTTCTGAGAATATGGCCAATCAATCCACCTTCATTTATTCCTGCTTATGTGTTACACAACTGGTTTTTGCTGGGTTGATTCACTCCCAGAGATCACTGGTTTTTTTCCACCTTCTTAAGTGATATTGGGCGAAGACAGATGTTGATGAAGGTCCGTAGTTTGTTCAAAGTGACCTTCATGACGCACTGGCCAAGTCTCTGATACATATATTAGCGCTGACTGACTTCATATTGGAGTTGAAAATCAGGATCTTATTTTTCACGCCGAGTACTGTTCAGCTTCACACAGAATTGAGGGTAATGAAAGCTTGCTTTGCTTTTCCGATACTCCCTTTGATATCCTCATCAGTTCTGTCCGCGTATAGTTGAAACGATGCTTTCCAGGTTGCTAGATAAACGAGGTTGTTTCTTTCAGATTTCTCCTATTTATGTTGATTGTTGTCTGATGTTGTTGCTGTTGGTGTCGGCCAAGAATCATCGTCACCTCTGTTTTCTCTATGCTCACCTGAATTCCTATCTTTGATGCTTCTTCTATCGCCAACTTGTTGCTTTTCACTTGCATATCTTCCAGTTTGTGGGAAATCACACATATAAATCATCAGCGAAATCGATATCCTCCAAGTTTTTTGTGTGAGTCCACTTTATGCATGTCTCCTCGTTGTCCGCCATCTGTCACATTACCCAGTCTACCGCAATCAGTACGTATGCATGTTTTATAATATATGAAACAAAACACACGTTTTGACTCAAAAGAAGCTTTCTGTGGATTTTATACACTCAAAATACCGCATTAAAGAGTACAGGCTTAAAAATTCCTACAAAAATAAGAAAAAACATGTCTATTTAAACTTATTTACATTTGAATTAAAAACCTGAATGGACAAGGAAACAAATAATTGACAGATTTTTTATTATAAAGCCAATAATCAGCCAATTAAAATCAACGCCACATTTTGTATGCATTCATACAAAAAGCACAAGTGAAACACACCTTATTGGTCAGAGCTTTTTAAGTACATAAATAATTCATTTGTGTTCGTATTAGTTAAAGTGATAAAACAAAATATTTTCCATAAAGAAGCGTTTAAAAATGGCAACAGGAAAAAAAGACAATCATCATGTCAAAATTGACTTCAATGCATAATAAATCTTAAAACGAAGAGCATAACGAACACAAATTCGATCATTTATCAATAAATAACCGTTAAAAGAAAGAAAGAAAGGAAAAGCTGAATACAGAATGGTTGTGATAACATTAGTGCTTTTAAGTAAGTTCAATAATTGAATTTTGATCAATTGAAAGTTGAACAGACTTTAAAAACGTCTTTATTTGCTTGCATGATTTCCACTTATGATTTGTTCAATAAAATTGTTTTGTATCACTTTATGTAAATGTTTTTAGTTATCTCACCATCGTGAATAGCAACGGTTAGCCTATGATCAGTAAATAATGCAGTCTTTATTTTGATTTAGTTTATTAGGGCTTCACTATTTTTTCTTTTAAGCCGGGACTTCAGTGGTAGAATTGTCGCCAGCCAAGTACGTGATCCGGATTCGATTCCCAGTTGCAGTGAAAGTCAGTAGGCTTTAAAATTAGTATCTTTACTTTTATTTCTGATTGTGAAACTTTACAGTTCACTGAAAATCTTATAGGACATGTCATCAAATGAATTGTATCTGGAGATTATTTAAATTTCAGCGCTAGATTTAAATTCTGTTTCTATCTAATATTATGTTAGCTGATTCCACTACAGTTGGTGAATGGGTTTCCGTGCCTATACTTTACCTAAACTGCATAATTTTCTTCGAAAAGTGGAAAATTATTTCTGTATACAAATAACATCTTTGACTTCATTCGTCTAACTGCTGAACTAAGTTAACACTTTTAAAAGCCGCTTTCTATTTTGATACTAAGTGAAGATATGATGTGGAATATAGTTGCTAAGTGTTTGGAGACAATCGGCAGGAAGCCTCTGTGGGACCAAGGTTTTATGTTTCTCAGCAAGACGTAGCTGTAGTCCTCAGGGAACTCATATCCCTCAAGAGATTCAAACCCATATTACACAATGCTGCAGTCAGAAATATTACCAATGAGCTACTCAGGTTAGCGACTGACCACCGACAGGACTGTAATACATTCTTTCATTGGACACAAGGTAGTCACTTATGTCATGTACCTTCTCCTTTGGTTGGTCCACACTGAATTCTTTCACTATACTCAGCATCTCGCCAATCACGGTGTATTGATAGAATAGACAAATAGAGTTCAGTCTACACAGAAAACATCAAAAGTAAGACATTAGTTACGGCCCAGTGCCCTATCAGTGCACCCATTTTTGTACTAAATCAGATTAGTCCTAAGCCATAATAGTTTGATGTTAGTGTCTTTAACCAAAGTACTGGGTTACCCAGGATCGAATCTCAGAAGAGACATGAATTTCTTCAGGACTGCAGATATGCCTTGCTGATGAGTGCCAACATGTATGAAACCTTGGTACAAGGCTTCCTTATGGTTGCCTCCAACCATTTAACAACAATTCAGAGTGCACAGTGGCCACATGGTAGACTTTTCTGGCAAAATATGGTCTGTATAAGACGGAAGACCGGATAAACGACATTAATTGCTATTCAGTCAAAGCATAGAATGTTGTTTTGAAAACTGAATACATTAATATATCTGCCTATCTGCAAAACGTTGTAAAATATCAAAGTATGTTCACTGTTTCGCATCTGAGTCAATGGTTTGATCCTTCAACATATACAATAATTTCTCTTTGCAGGATATATATTACTTTGTAAGTTATACTTCTGTGAAGACAGAAAGAAAGAAACAATGAAGTTGAAGACATTTTCGGTGTTGAAGTGCCTTTCTGAAAATAGGTGTTTTAATTTCTAACTCGTTTAACTTAATTACCGGTTGTGGATGTGATGATGTATTCTAAAACTTTTTTCTACACCACAAGTTTAAATGAAATTATGCAGTATTCAACTTCTTCAACACACTCTGTACAAATTAACTTGTTATCCAAGATAAACACTTCTTGCGGTTATATCAGCAAATGCTTTGTTTACTGGTTGGAGGATTTCATCATAAGCTAAAATCGGTTAGGGAATAAAACAGGGAGTACTGGACAGCTGTTTCGTCCCAGTTTGGTACTCTTCATCAGTACGCATCCACCGGGTTCGAACCCATGACGTTTTGGTTACAAGGCAAGATCGTAGACCATTAAGCGTAGTGCATACTGATGAAGAGTTCAAAACTAGGGCAAAACAGTACTCCCAGGTTTTCCAATGGTTCTGTAAATAATTTCAACTCATGATGAAATTCTCCAACCAGCCAAACAAAATCCTTACAAAACGAATACTTGAAAATGTTTGTTTTCCACAGGAAATATTCCATTACATTCTAATTGAACACAATAGTCATTAGTACTGTTCATTAAGCCTGCAGACAAGGTTATCTGGTTAGTGGTGACTATCAGTTGAATCCAGGCTGTTTGTGACATGCAATTACCAGTGAGTGAAAATGTTCCCAGTAAAACTCGACGCCTTATACCAAAAGTTATAAACGTCAAAGTGTTAGCTACTAAACCACTCGGGTCACGACAGCCAACTTGTGTTTATTAGGTATGATTTATTTTTGTCTAAACAAGTTTTGCTTTTCCCGCTGACAAACGGTACAAAATGTCCTTCAGTATATAATCAATTAATAAATCCACTTTTTTAATCTGATAATTTGTAAACTTTTCTAAATTCGGTAGCCATTAATAGTTCAAGCATGGCAATAACACTTGTCCACCGATACTTCGGTGTTCGTTTATCTAAATTTCAGTTATCAACTTGATACAAATACAGTCGATGATAAGTAATTTGAGATAGATGTTGACGTCAAACTTTCATCAGTCAAATGCTCAGCATATCTGATTCAGACTATTTTACGTTATATTATAACGATTTTATCGAGGGAACAGTCTTTTTTATTATGTTCCATAGTGTCATTTCTATGATGAAATGAATCCAGTTTGTTGTGACCTCTCAAGTAACGAATGTTTGAATATAAAAAGAATCAGACCAATAAAACAAAGTTAGAACGGCAAATATTTAACATTTACTCTACTGAAGACAAGAAACCTCTGTGATTTCATCATGAGCTGACATTAGTTAGAGAACCATTGGAAAACCTGGGAGTACTGGACAGCTGTTTCGTCCTAGTTTGGGACTCTTCAGCAGTACGGACCCACCGGGATTCGAACCCAGGACCTTCCGGTTACAAGGCGAGCTCGTATACCATTAAGCCACTGGGTCCCAGTGGCTTAATGGTATACGAGCTCGCCTTGTAACCGGAAGGTCCTGGGTTCGAATCCCGGTGGGTGCGTACTGCTGAAGAGTCCCAAACTAGGACGAAACAGCTGTCCAGTACTCCCAGGTTTTCCAATGGTTCTCTAACTAATGTCAGCTCATGATGAAATCCTGAAACCAATCAAATCCCTACAAACCAACACTTGAAAACCTCTGTGAATTTGAGCATATTCCTGAGACACAGAATTTTTCTAACATCCATATTCACTCTAAATTATGACTTAAATTTTAAGGGTTTGAACTTACACGAAGTTTTAACATTATAGTATTTTCAAGTATTGGTTTGTAGGGATTTTGTTTGATTGGTTGGAGGATTTCATCATGAGTTGATATCAGTTAGACAACTATTGGAAAACCTGCTGTTTCGTCCTAGTTCTGGACTCTTCATCATTATTCACCTGCCGGGGTTCAAAATCCTCCAACCAATTGATCAAAATCCCTACAAACCAGTGATTGAAAATTGATATGGTGCTCACCAGTGACTAGCCTAATTCATGCAGTTGCCTGGGGTTCTAATGAGAAGTCGTGACATTTAGGGCACAGCAGGTCGAAGCTGGGGAGAGTTACTCATGGAAGACATTGCTAAGTGATAGCTTTATGCCATCAATTGGTTGAAGTTATAATAGTATTTGTCATTATTTTGAGAAAAAATTATCTTCAGGAATGAGTGGTGCTCATGTACCTGGATTTAAACTTTCAGATCATACGAACAGATCTTAATACGATGACATTTTGCTTGGTGATCATTCAGCCACTGGGATCCGACTCACCGGCTCATGAGTTCTAACTGCTGCTGACTCGTGATTTCACTGTGACCGCCAGCCAGTGTCATTCACGGCGAGTGTTTGTCCTCAATCCCGACCGAGTAGACCCTACTGAACCCCACTTCTCACTAGAACTCTAGGCAACTTTGTTTTGCAGCTAGTCACTGGAGAGCAACAGATAATTATTCAAAAGTTTGTTTGTAGTGATTCTAATTAAGTTTAGCAACAACAATGGAAGCTCCAGAAAACATTTCTAATGAACTCGATAAATTACAAAGCATTGTATTCATTTTTAGCGTCGGTGGCATGGCGGTTAGGACGCTCGCCGACCATGCACATGGTCCGTGGTTTGATCTCCGACTCACTCCTTTGCCTCGCTAAGCCACAAATAATACTGGTAAAGAGGAAAGGTTGGGCATGAGGCTATCAACCCCATCCTGTAAAAATAAACACTGCTACAGAAACGTCAAGCCACAAGCTAGTGGCTGTATGTTTCACTGGGGAAAGTGAAGGAAAATAAATTCATTTTTACCAAGTGATGTTTTACATGCCAAGTGTCAGCAATACTGAGTTTATTTTGCTAAATAAATTTATATGTTTCTAAATGATACTATGTTATTGCTCACTTTAGTTTGTCAGTAAATACCAATAGCTGGTAGTCCTATTATTGCTATAGATAATGTTATAGCCAACCTTTCTGTTTCACCTATTCTCACCATTTCTTTCCAAAGAAGCCTTTCACTGCCACTACCGAAAACATAAGTATTATATCCAGAAGCTGTTCATGAGACTAAATGAGACTATGTCAAATAAGATAAGGCTAGTCTATGTAAATTGGTGAAGAGCTCAAAAAAGATAAAATATCCACCTTCTGCTTTTTCCTTTCACTTCTTACATCATCAAAGTTATTTCACTCTGAGAATCTTTTTGGACATGAGTTTGTCTGTGGAAAGCTTTTTGTGGTACTTCTTTGAGCAATAATGAATATAAGATTTCTTTTTTCAATGAAACGTCAGACCCTACACTTTTCATTAGAAAAATCTTTCAGCTATGTTTTTCAACGAAATTCGGCCCTTACTTCTGATGAATAGAATTTAAAGTGTTGAGGAACCTTATTATAAAATAATGTCTAAATGGAGAAGCCA